AAGCCCATTTTGGCGCCACCCCGCTAGTCTGGCGCGAGGGAACATCTGCCCCCTCTGCCCCCCCCCTCAGCGCCACATCTTACAAATGGCACTTTCTCCTAGAAAATCTGAAATGCCTCTTGGAGGAAATTGTCTGAAATAAGCACTGCCTCCTGCCTCCTGCCTCCTACGCACAAAAAATGTAGCGTTAAGTTAACCGTGTATTGCAGCTTCTGTCTTTTGTAGAGTTGAGCGTTTTGTTCTTGACGAGTAAAGCATATCAGTTTAGAGACTAGAGTTTTGTGACGCCCAGGGGGGGTCCTTGACCTTGTCGTCCCTGATTGGGTGAAAACAACATGCATACAGAACACACACATAAACCCAACGGCGTGGCTAGGTTCGGTGTCAGCCGATGCGGTAAACGTAAGGTGTCACCCCCACCCCCCCCCCCAATCCCCCGACGTCTACGATTGATTCCTTATTGTTCAAATAGGTTAACAGTATAAAATTGGCAAGAACAACAACAAATACATTGAAGGTCAGAAGGTAAATGTATTTAAGCACTGTAACAACGTTAAGTTATAGTTAATTTCACATTAAATTTACTTTATTTAAATTTAAAACTGCATTTTCCTGGTCTTCAAAGCCGCAAACCCGACAATCCTGCTCAAATGTTTAAGGGGCGGTGCTAGTGACGAATTGGCATAATTATTAATTTTTTAGCATTTCTTGGTTTCGATTTATTTGGTTATGCCCCCACCCCCACACACACTTTTTATTTATGTTAAATAAATTTTAATTAAATTTTAAAATATATAAGCCTTTTTTTTTTAAAAATATTATTTTGTTATCCCTTCAAAGAGGAAAAAGTCATTTTTTAATTTTTAAAAATTTTTTACCGCTTTGATTCATGCACGTAGAATCGCCGGACCACATCGCATTTAATTGGGTATCAATGGATGCTGGTGGGCAAAGTGCTTAACATTTGAGCGTACTGTGGATACTGGTGGGGAAAGTGCTTGACATTTGAGCGTACTGTGGATGCTGGTGGGAAAAGTGCTTAACATTTGAGCGTACTGTGGATACTGGTGGGGAAAGTGCTTGACATTTGAGCGTACTGTGGATACTGGTGGGGAAAGTGTTTGACATTTGAGTGTACTGTGGATACTGGTGGGGAAAGTGTTTGACATTTGAGCGTACTGTGGATACTGGTGGGGAAAGTGCTTGACATTTGAGCGTACTGTGGATACTGGTGGGGAAAGTGTTTGACATTTGAGCGTACTGTGGATGCTGTCGGGGAAAGGGCTTGACATTTGAGCGTACTGTGGATACTGGTGGGGAAAGTGTTTGACATTTGAGCGTACTGTGGATGCTGTCGGGGAAAGGGCTTGACATTTGAGCGTACTGTGGATACTGGTGGGGAAAGTGCTTGACATTTGAGCGTACTGTGGATGCTGGTGGGGAAAGTGTTTGACATTTGAGCGTACTGTGGATGCTGGTGGGGAAAGTGCTTGACATTTGAGCGTACTGTGGATACTGTCGGGGAAAGTGCTTGACATTTGAGCTTACTGTGGATACTGTCGGGGAAAATGCTTGACATTTGAGCGTACTGTGGATGCTGGTGGGGAAAGTGTTTGACATTTGAGCGTACTGTGGATACTGTCGGGGAAAGTGCTTGACATTTGAGCGTACTGTGGATGCTGGTGGGGAAAGTGTTTGACATTTGAGCGTACTGTGGATGCTGGTGGGGAAAGTGTTTGACATTTGAGCGTACTGTGGATGCTGGTGGGGAAAGTGTTTGACATTTGAGCGTACTGTGGATGCTGTCATGGAAAGTGCTTGATATTTGAGCGTACTGTGGATACTTTCGGGGAAAGTGTTTGACATTTGAGCGTACTGTGGATGCTGGTGGGGAAAGTGTTTGACATTTGAGCGTACTGTGGATGGTGGTGGGGAAAGTGTTTGACATTTGAGCGTACTGTGGATGCTGGTGGGGAAAGTGTTTGACATTTGAGCGTACTGTGGATGCTGGTGGGGAAAGTGTTTGACAATATTAAGTGTGATGATAAGTTTGTCCATGAATACCCAAAGGTGAAGCTTTAGTCAAAATTAAATAGATGAATGGCATTTTCGATCATCGGTAGAGTAATTTTGTGTGGGGGGGGGGGGGCTCCCTGGAATGTTGTCTGCAAAAATCGATACCCGCCCCGGGGGGCCCTAACTCTTGCTACGCCGCTGTAATCCTCATTAAATGTCTAGAAAAGAAATCAAGCAAAACCTTTCAATAGGGGGGGGGGGGGGCTCCCTGGAATGTTGTCTGCAGAAATCGATACCCGCCCCTGGAGGCCCTAACTCTTGCTACGCCGCTGTAATCCTCATTAAATGTCTAGAAAAGAAATCAAGCAAAACCTTTCAATTTTTCATTTCTTTATATCAATATAATTTTGGAAATCGGTTGTGCTATTATTCAATAACTATGATAAAAAATTACAAAAACTTAAGCATTATATTAAATGAGAAGAAAAAAAAGAAGAAGAAGAAGAAACCTTTTTGAAATCAAAGTCGCACTTGGAGTTACAATAGAACTACGATTCCGTGCGAATAGCTTTGGGTTAATTAATTTTAGCATGGAGAATTTGGATTTATTCCTTCTTTATTTTTTATATAAATGTAAGGATTTATTTTTTTTTATCTTGCAGTTATTTGGTTTATTTTGGTGTTTCACTTGATTTAGTGGGTTTGAAAATGTTTTGTTGTGTACTTACGAAAAAGCGTTTCCTTGGAACATGTGGGCGTCAAGACTGTTTTGAACTATTCCACCGGTTAGTGTTTGGTCTCACCACAACAGAGTTATGGAACTTATTTTTGCAACTGACATTTGAAGAAATGTTTGTTACATTTGAAATTATAGTTAAAAGGTATTGTTTTGCATACAGTGACAACCATCCCCATGAAATTTTTTAGAAAAGCAAACCCCGTCGTGAATAATTTGCCGTTGATTTTTGCATTAAAATGTGCTCGTTATAGGTTTTCAGTTGAAAAGGAGTAGTATAATGTGACTAATGAATGGATAAAAAGAAAAAATAATGTATAGAGTCTAACTTTATTTTTAATTTTAAAAAAAATCAAAAATATCGTAGTATCTGACAATTTACTTATCATTGTCAAGAACAGAAAAAAATATAAATATCTTAAAAAAAAAAAAAAACACACAATCAAACGGTTTTAGATCAAGAATGTAGAAATACTTCATTATTTAGCTCACATGTGTCAAACTCAAGGCCCGCGGACCACATCCGGCCCGCTGTACCATTATTTCAGGCCAGCGAGGTCTTGACCGGCGTACAATTATAACCAAGTCAACGCTATGGTGTTAATTGGTGTTTCCCAATGAACACTTTGCTGAAAAACTTAGTTTACTTCGCGCCGAGTTCGCACGGCGCTTTAGAGACTTTGAATCACAGGAATGTAATTTCGAGCTGTTTCGTATTAATCCATTTGTAATAGACTTGGAAATTGCACCTGTAAATTTATAGATGGTGCTAATAGAGCTGCAGTGTAATGAGACACTAAAGGCAAAGTACGACACAGTTGGGCCTGCACAGCTACTCGTTTCATTCCTGAAGAGATGGCCCAGCTTCGTCTACACGTGGCTCGAACCTTGAGCACGTTGGGTAGCACATACATGTGTGAGCAGCTGTTTTCTGTGATGAAGATTAACAAAACATCACACAAGAGTCGTCTCACTGATGAACACTTGCAGTCCATCATGAGAATCTCAATGACACAGAACGTTACTCCCAACATAAACGATCTTACTTGTTTTTGTAGCTAAGAAAATGTGCCAAACATCCAGCTCTGACAAATTAGCATAAGAACAAAAATGGGTATGCTAATGATTTTTATTAATGTATTAATACATTTTTTTCTGTTTTCATTTATAAAAATTATTTTTTTTTTAAAGATTAATTTTCCGCTTATTGAATGTTTATCCTGCTCGGCCCGCAACCTTACATGTGATTTGAGTTTTGGCCCGCCGAGTGATTGAGTTTGACAGCCCTAGTTTAGCTCATTATTTAAATATTTCACATCTTTTCTGGGCTTAAAAATATAAGCGCTGAGTCAACCAGCCCACGAGACAACCATCCCGCGAGATAACCATCCTACGAGACAACCATCACAACCTGCCCCTCCCCCCCCCTTCTATTTACGATTCACGCTGAAACGAGTTGCGTTACTACGGGGGGG